TTGTCCTGCACAGAGGATTTATTTCCTGTCACAGCCTACACATGTACCTTCAGTTTGCAGGACCAGGATATACTTGCTTATGTCAGAGCGTGCAAGAAAGTACATTATAAACTACTGATTGTTTTCCAAATGTATTAAGTAATAAAATATCAGGCCCACAAGCCAGCTTTAAGCTATGTAAATGTCTTGTTTTTTTATGGCTCTTAGCATATAAAAGGGGAATTTGAGTGTTTTTGAGATCTGATGCTTGGGATCACAGCCACAACAAATAGTTCAGTTTCAGGCTCAGAAACCTAACTTAAACTGTGTGTAGTAAGAAGCAACACAAACACAAACACGGTGCTAGTGTACACAAGTTGAACTGTACTAAACTGGTTTTCTCTCTTAATTAACTTCCACCTGACGTATTCTTCAAGTATTGTTCTCCTAGTTGGATTTTCAGCCTCACTGAACTCTCTAAATTTCTCGCTCCCATTAAATCAATATGAACTTTTTTTTTTTATGTTGCAGAGCTGGCTTCTCCAGTTATGAAGACAATGTTTGCCGAATTTCTTCTTTTCATGGGTTTATTTTAAATTATTTACCTTGTCACATTCCTATAGATTAGAAATATTTTGCCTGTGATTTCATCTATTCTTTTTTAACAGCATCAGAGTGGAATTTCAATTGTCAATAAAAGCTTTGGTCCTGTATTTTACACTTCTCTGAGAGGGTGCAGATATTTACAGTGAGGAGCTTGTGCACATGAGAATATGAAAGGGGATTATGATTTTGAAGGCAGGATAAGATATGTTGCGTTTACCACAAGATAAGGGTGAACTTGGGCAGTTATTGTAGAGGAGCTGATGTTCTCTGTTTCCACTACAATATTCTTGCTCTAACCAAAGAGCGTCAACATGAAGTTTTAACAGAATTTAAAAAAAAAACCAAAACTTTTTAAATTAATGCAGGTTGACTTCCAGGTATATCTCCCAGAGACAAGCTCTAGAGATGTGAAGTTAATGAATACTTTTGATAAAATGTTAACTTGGCAGTATGATGCACTCATTGTGAGGTAAGCTGGCATTAGGCTATAGCCATGTAAAGCAAGGCAGGCTCTGCTGTAGCCAGCTGCAGGCATGTCTTATTCCAAAATAACTGTGAAGCATATTAAGCCTCGAGTGGTTAAACAACCTTACATATACCATGAGATTAGAGAGTGCACACCAGCAGTCACTGCAGAATAGCAGTACTATGCCTGTGTGCACCTTTGCTGCAGCCGCTGCTCATGCTTTCTTCTAGGACTCTCATAAACATGCACGCAGGAGGCAATGATGGGGAGAGGATAAGCGTCATTCTGTGGTGGAGCAACACAGAGCACAGGAAGGGACGGTTTGACACCTTAATCTGTCAATGACAGATAAGATGAAGTGATATGAAGAGTCAGTGTTTTGAAAATCAACAGCTGCAAAGACAGACACTAAGCGCAAAGAAGGAGGAAGACGGCGCATGGGTGTGCTTTCAGGGCACCTAGTTACTCTTTAGATTATTTCTGCTGTTAATACTAATACTAATAATAGTGTGGCTACAAAACCTGTGCATGCACCCACCTATTTTTGCAAGAAGTATGGTTTGGAGGTTCCAGTATGGTTGGACGTCCAGGGAAAAATGTGGTTATGCTGTTCTGTGTCCTTGAGAGAGCATTGCTATTTTCAGGTGTGTAGGGTGGATCTGTGTGTCTGAATTCTTGGCAGGTTTGTGAGTCAGGGTCCCAAATCTCAGAGCAGCCCAGGAGAACCTCCCTAGGGTACACTGATGTGAAGACACAGTAAAGCAGTCTGTGTGTCTGTACAGGGAGAATTATACAAGCGAGGTCCTAGCAGAGGATTTGTGTGAAACTAAGACTATATGTACATAAGGATCATAACTTCTAATGTCCTTTAAACTGTCTGTTGGCTTAAGTCATATTACTGGGGAACTTTGCAGTAAAGCTTTGGGAGCCTTTGACTATAGCCTCAGCTGGCATGATTTGTCGTCTTTGTGCTGCATCACATGAGAATCATCTACATAAAGGTGAGGTGCCCTGGAGAGCTGCAGCTTGGCCAACCATATAGCTTATCGAGGAAGATACCATTATGTAATGATACAACCCAATTCCAGCATAGCAGTTAGCTGTTGTTCAGTGCACACTTTGTAATCTTATTGATAAAATTATCAGTTGCCATAACACCCAGACATGTGTGTGGCTGCGTGTGGACTCAGCTGTAGTACAGGCGTTGCCTTAGAAGGAGGAAAGACAATGTTTCTAGGAAAGAATTTCTTTGGGATGGAACTTAGCTTTATTTCAGCATAAATTGCTTTCTGTTTAAGCACAAATTTTTTCCTTAGTAATCTGTCTCATCCTCCAGTATATAAGACAAGCTGGCTGAAATTAATGCATATTGAGAATGACTAAAGTTCCTCCTAGCAATGCAGAAGTGTAGTGACTATATGTATTTCATACTGTATCATTTCACATGTAGGCAATGTATAATGCACGCTGCATTACTTCACACCATGGCTCGTGTCTTCACTTGCCTTAAGACATTTTGACCTTGTGTCATCTTTCTGGTTTTTGATGCCTCTGGTGGGAGGAAATGTACATCTTGTCCCATCTTAACAAGGGTCACCAAAATCCCAGGATCTACAAGCAGCTGTGACTTCAAGTGCAGGAGAACAGGGCACCCTCAAGGCCATTCTCCACTTATTTTTGGGCTCCTCAGAGAGACTGCAGAAGAATTACCAGAATGAGCAATGTTCCTTTTCTCCTTGCCCATGCTGAAGCATGAAGGGCCAGCTTTGACTGGAGAACCTACTGCGCAAGCTGCTGTTTAGCCAATCATGGATGTTAATGTTACCATGGATTTCCCCAGAATCAGGACATCTCTGCCTTTCCCAGGGCAGCTCCTCTCACACCTGAAGCTGCACCTGCACAAAAGGAGGTTTTGAGCTCTCTCTCTGTGCCAGCATAAATGAACTGAGACTTCCTAAGATAAGACATAGGGAGCCTGGCAATAATTCTCTCTCTAGTTCAGAAAAAAAATAAAAATTCTAAATGCAGTTTTAAGACACCAACAGGTCAGGCCAGCAATCTAAACTGTGCTGGGGCCAATTTTAATGCCCAATTTTTAAATTACAGAGGCTGCTTCTGGCAAGATGCTTTCACAAACACCATCAGGCACTATTCAGCCTTGTTTAAAAATATTCAGGGTGGCATTTGCGTAGTTTTCAAAGATCCCTGTGCAAGCAGAAAATTTTAAGAGCAGTTTATTTTATATCACTTCAAGCGACTTACAACAAAGCTGCAAAATATTTGTGGTGCCACAGGTATTCTATATGCACAGCAAGGGAAAACGCTGACTTTAACTCTGTCAGGAATTATAATTTGTGTGTATTTCTTTACATGTTTTTTTCCAGAAATACCTAATTAAGCAGAGAACTAGTGAGTATGGCCTTCTGGAAGTTTTATTAACAGGAATCTTTATCCTCTTAATCAATTCAAATGTTATAAAAACCTCAAAACTCTTCAGCGTCCATTCAAGCAAAGAAGCATGCCTGTTATGTGGCAATTTTCTGACCCTTGCATTATCAAGACAACATTATTCTTGGTGCTCTACGGCTTGTGTGTGGGCTGCTGGTTAGTGTGAAAACCTAGGAAGGGAAACACTTTCAGAAACCTTGTGCTGGTGATGCCATATATGTCCACTGGTTCTAACCATTCACCAGCATGGTGGGACTGATAGCTACTGCACAGCTATTGGTAACATCTTTCTTAAACACTCAAGACATTACTTTTTATTCTTCAATGAATGAAATATTTTAGATTAAACTGCAACAATCACACTTACCAAGGCCACGCATTTTACTGGCTTTACCATGTCAGGAAACTCAACAGGTAGCAAATTTATATTAAATATTTAGGATATATTGTGGGTTTTTTCCAAATTACAGCTGTGTGCTTCATCAGGCTTCCCTGTCATCAAATATTTACAATGTTTTTGCATGTGACTCCATGTTATATGGAAATACACTGTGTCAATAGGAAGGCACTGCCCTTGTGTTTGATATTAATATTTAGTTACTCAGATGTATCAGTTACTACTACATTCACTTTGGGTCATAATTTCATAGAAATACATAAAATTCTATATGTAACATTTTCTGGTCATATATGAATCAGTAAGGAAAGATCATTAAGAATGAGTAACTAGGATTTAATAATGACTACCTGACCATAACATATTCTTCATGAATATCCATAAATTTCTTGTAGTGATAGTTGTGGTAAGATTACCCATGATGTAAAACCACTCTGCTCTAAAACTACCAAGGTGTTAAATATATATTCTGGTGGCAGAGCAAAAAAATGTTTTTCTCACTCCATGATTTTTTTTCAAGACCTTAGCTATTTTTTTCTTCTTAAAATGGGATTAAGATACTGTAATATTTAAGATTTTTGAACTCGTAATCTGATATATTGTCAATTTAAATGTTTTAAAAGATCATTTCAACTCTATTTCATTTTGTCTGCTTTAATTTTAGTATTGTCAACCAGTTTAAGACATCATTCCTAAAACTCAAAGACTTGCTTGCCAACAGTTTAGAAGTTGCTGTGAGGACAAGGGGAAGACAGATGTGTAAACACACACACAGAGCAGGACCACGTAAACCTCTCTATTCTGTGTGTGTGTGTGTGTGTGTGTGTATTCTTTGAAGCTTTTTTCTCTATATCATGTCCTATCCTAGTCTACAGATGACCAGCAAGCTGGCTTGCAGAAAAGACAGCATGTCTATCTAAAGCTGCTGGAGATTTCACACAGTTATTTAAACTTACCCATGGATTTGTGAACAAGTCACCCATGAGTTTGGATTTATATTGGATTATATGTAAAGATGATCCCAATTAATCAGTTACTAAGACAACACAATTACAGGGTTTCGGTATTTATACTACAGAATCTTTGCATTGAATTTGTTATTCTCTCATTGTACAGGTTTTAGGAAGCAAGCCAGCACTTCCAGAGTGCGATGATGATGATGATGAACGGGCCGATATTACAAACAGGAGAAGTGCTAAACTATATATGGTAATTTATTTGTACACTCAGCAGTATTTGTGCATGTAGTACCCTCATATAGGGAGTTCTGGCTTCAGTTCCAAAACTGCAGTTGTGTTAGTTCACTTGTAGCCAATAGACAGGTTTCTCAACGGATCTCAATCAAGACAGCCCCGTTAATCTGAGGAAAAAAATGGATTACAGTCCTGTTTACTCAGGAAACGTGTTAAGCATCGTCTGTGACCCACTCAGTGCAAGTCAAAGAATTAACTGGTTCTAAATCAAACTATATTTCCTGTCTTGTTGATTATAACAGTGAAAGTTTTAGTAGTCATATATAATTTCATTATTCTTAGCAGAATTTGAGAGATGCAGAGCTATATTTTGTAGAATCCCCTTTGGATTTATATATAACAGGTCTTATATGACAGTTTCCAATTAAGGAACTGTAGGCTACAAATGTAGGTATTTCACTTGTTAATATGTGTAGAACTATTTTATTATAATTTCAAATGCTCTTGTTCAGCATGTACATGTACCTTTGGCTTCAGTGCGAGTTGCTTGGTAGCAGAAGATGCACCTAGAGACTCCACCAGTTCAGCTGGGCATCATAGGATGGGCTGAAGGAAATAAAGATTTTTAACTGTGAGATGTTCACAGAATGAGCAGTTGAATTGAATTGAAAGTGAAAGAGAAATGAATTTATTTTAACAAGTTATGAGACAGTGAGCCAACAAACTCCCTAAAATTAATACTACATCTCCCTCTATTGGATGTAAGATGAAATGAAACAAAAAAGATAATTGTTAGCCTTTCTTTTCAGCAGTACAAAAATTGCATACAGCCATTTACATAGGAATGGTGACTTATTTTTGTAGTAATTTTGGGAGCAGAAAATAATCTGTTTATAAAAGCCAGAGTTGATCTAAATTTGAAATTATTGCTTTCTTAGGTGTCAGATGCAAGTGGATCCATGAAGGTGTCCATGGTAGCAGAGGAAAACCCCTTCTCCATGGCTATGCTTTTGTCTGAGGAGTGCTTCATTTTGGACAACGGTGCTGCAAGGAAGATCTTTGTGTGGAAAGGTAGGAGATCACTTCTGCTGCAAATGCAGAGGCTGCACAGAGATATGTAAGGAGTTGACACAACACCCTGGGGATGCTAGCAAGAATTTAATACTGGCTGGACACAGTACCCTGCACATAGTTCTTCCTTGGTATGGTCAAAGGACAAGGATTGCTCATGGGAGTAAGGGCCTCAAGACGAAGTCCTGTCTATGGATCCTGGCCTTTTTTGAGGCATCTGTAAGCTTAGGTGCATACATGCTTATCTAGTTGCAATTACAAAGCAAACATAAAGAATCTTACAAGTTTTGTATATTGCTATAAAATCCCTATCTTCTGGGACAAAATCTGGACACTGAAGTTTTGATAATGGGTAGATATTATATTTCCATATATTACTCCACAGGGGTGTGAAAGTGAAAGGTGAGTGTCCCCTCATCAACTAAAAGCAGAAGCCTCCAAATACTTTACTTTTTTTCATGTGAATATTTCTCTGTGGTATAAGTGCTTGTAGAAGTGTCTGCAATTGCTCTGACTGAACATTTCCTAGGGGAATACTAGTACTGGGGAATTAGGTCTGGAGAACTTGTAGCTGGATTGTTGTGGTGCTGCCATTGCTTCCAGTGCACTGCTTCTGAGGCAGTGTATTAATTATTCTGTGGCATTTGCATTTATTTTTACCATGTGCAGTAGCAAATAATTAATTGATGCAGTTGTTGAACTGCTGAAGTCAGTCCAGGAAGCACTGTAAGCATTTTGCTTGAAAATTTCATTTGCAGTCAGGGAAACATCCTTTAAACACAGCATCTGGGGAGCACTGTTCTCAGACGACCTAAGGTCTACTTGACCCCTTGATTCCTGGTTTTCACTCTCTACTTGATGGCTCCTAGAAAACCAAAGCCAATAGGATCAGGCTTAAAATAAATAAAATACAATTTAGGCCCTTTGAATGTGGCCCTGTGTGCTCCTCTGTATCCTCACTGTGCTATTGTTGGTAACAATAACGTGTGGAAAAAACCCACTAGTCTGTCTCACCCTTGCAGTGGAAGGCTGCAGTTATCATCTCTGCTGGAAATCTTCAGGCCACTAAGCTGAGGAGTGTGAATTACTTTGCTAATACTCTCATTCAAAACTGAATACAAATAATAGCTTATCAAAGCATCTTATTATACTAAGAGGTCTTTGGGTACAGTCATTGACAGCCAGCTGGGACCAGACCTGATACACAGGATCACCCCACAGAGACTTTCAGAGATGTCTATCGCTGAGCAAAGAGTAATGGATGGGGAAGGGCAGTGGTAAATTGCAGAGCCCAGCCAGTCAAAATAGGAGTTTCTTTTACTCAGGCTGTGGCACTATCTGAAGAAGAGGCAGCAGTTCTGGGCAGCAGGTTTATGTACCAGCCCAGGAAGGGAAGTTTCAGAAAAAGAGCCCAGGGTATTCTTGTCCCTTGAACCAAGCAGATATTATGAACAGCATTTTATCAATAGAAATACACACACAAAGCAAAAAACTCTTTTTTAAAAATTTTATTTTATTTTAACTGTTTTCAAAGCCACTGAAGTACTGTTTTGGCCATTCAACTTTGTGTGAATCTTATTGCTCATGCTACGTCCAGCAGTTTATTCAAGACTGAGGCAAGAGCAATGTTGAAGAGAACCTGGATCAAGGACATATTGTTTTTGCAGGATCTGTGAGTTCTTTGCCCTTTCTCAGGCATTGTTATCCTTCTGTTTTAACCAGGCAAAGATGCTAACCCACAAGAGAGAAAAGCTGCCATGAAGAATGCTGAACAATTCATAAAGCAGATGAATTATCCTGCCAACACACAGGTGTGATCTGTTCATGAGATGATACCAAGAGAGCATGAGTTCTGTTAGACTTTTTTTTTTAATCAGCAAAAAATATTTTAAAGAGCTTATAAGGGCAGTGTTTCACTAACAGATGATTATGAAAAGTTTCTGTTTGGGTAACTGTGTCAGTTTTGTTTTCCTTCCATTTCATGTGTCTTGTTTCATTTCAGATTCAAGTCCTTCCGGAAGGAGGTGAAACGCCAATTTTCAAACAGTTTTTCAAAGACTGGAAGGATAAAGATCAAAGTGATGGCTTTGGCAAAGTGTATGTCACAGAGAGAGTGGCTAAAATTGAGCAGATTGAATTTGATGCTACCAAGTTACATGAGTCTCCACAAATGGCTGCCCAGCATAACATGGTAGATGATGGTTCAGGGAAAGTAGAGGTAATTTTTGTGTTGTATTAAATTGTATCACATCTATCTAATTTATTCTGTTACTTGTAAGGAGATAAGCTGCTTGCTAGTCTGTGTTTTGCCATTTGCACTGTTGCGTAGAGTAACACTATACTAGTGGTAGTGTTACTTCTACCATCAGAAAAGGTATTTTGAAGTGGAAAGTGACTCTTTGTCAGCTGTATGCTGACTTGTGTTTTTATAGTGCTTATAAAAGATGATGTTATCAGTAGAAATCAGACTGTAGAAACATTTCCCCTTTTACACAATACCTTAGAAGGATATATATACTTTTTACTGTTGACTCCATATATATATATATTAAATACAATCCTTAGCCTAAAGAAAAACTTCACACCAGCTCGAAATCTGGAATGGAAAAACTTGTCCTTGGAGCCAGAAGTTCATTCCATGTCTTTATGCATGTATCCAGTCTGCTTTCTAGAGGAACCTTCTTTGTCCCCAGTGGGCCTCAGGTAGCCTGAGCTTGGAGAGAAAAAGATTACCGTGCGGTCTTTTAAGATCTATCCATATCACACTGCAGGAATATCTTTGGATGACACAGGGTTGGTTTAGCATTGCACCAATACAGCCTGTTGAATACAGGTCTGCATGTTGGGATTCTGGAAGGAAAAGGAGGGATAAATACTTACAGTCTTACTGGTGCCTTTTCTGAGTTGCTATCCTCAAGCTCTGGATGGTCCATAGGCTTGAGCCAAAGCAGCTTCGATCTGAAGTATTTTTTGCTGTATAATTTTAGCAGTGTGTTACTGGATAGCAGTTGTTGACTGAACTGGGCTGTGGTGAATCAAATAGGAAGAAATCTTTCTAACAGGGTGTGATCTGACTACTGTGTGCCTCTCCCAGATGATATGATAGTCCTATGATGAATCATAAAGTTGTGTCATTCATACTATGTTATCATCTTAAGATGTTAAAGTAAGTTCAGCATACATTATGAGGTGATCATGTGGCATTAAAACATCAAGACAAAGAAAAGTGTACTGCAATGGATTGTTGATGGTCATTATTCATTCGTTCAGTGGGCACAGGGTGTATCTGTCTACCTCATGAAGAATCTGTCCTGGTTTTATTCCATAACACTTGGGAGCAGAAGCAAAGTTCACTCAAGGGGTGACACAATAAACTGCTTGTCTCAGGATGAAGTTCAGCATTCTCCAGTGGTTTCTCTGTTTCCCCAGATCTGGCGTGTGGAAAGCAGTGGCAGAGTCCCCGTGGAACCTGAGACGTATGGACAGTTCTATGGTGGTGACTGCTACATTATCCTCTACACTTACCCTAAAGGGCAGATCATCTACACATGGTATGTTTGGTTGGCTTTGCCCAGACCCCCAGCATGTAGATACTATTTTATGCTGACTTTATGCCCTTTTGTATATAACCACGTGTAAATGTGAGATTGCTTACTGTGCATTTGTCATGCAGTATAAGCTCTGAATCATTCTGAAACTGGACTTAACCACTGCCTTTCTCCTTGTCTTCCTCAGGCAAGGAGCCAATAGTACAAAAGATGAACTGACTGCATCTGCATTTCTGACTGTTCAGCTGGATCGGTTATTGAATGATCAGGCTGTGCAGGTTTGTGTCTTTTGGATAAAATTCAACAAACCAGCAATATATGCAAATTTTAATGAGACTTGAAAGGAGGAGGTAGCGTTTGAAGACTGCTCATGGTCTGTATCAAGCCAAGCACCATGGGCCCCTTTTAAAATTACCGGAGATTTCCATCTGAATCATCCTTTCTGAATGTAGATGTCACAAAGAACATAGATATAACACAGCCTAAAGCTGTCTTTTCTTTCCTTTGACTTTCACTGTCTAAAAATTAGGGGTTTGTCCTGCTTAGCCCTACAGACTCTGTACCTCATCAGCGGAGACCAAATGATAAGATCCTCCTTGGTCTACTCACTCTGAAGTGTCTGACAGGATGATTGCCCTGTGTGAGCTCCCACATCTCCATTTGATTATGGAGGATGCTGTGATGTTTAGTCCAGACGAGACACTTGACTTTTGGAGAGCCAAAACTGGGAGATATGAAAACCACATGACAGCCTGAATGAGAGAGCCTGCCACAGGGTCTGGCTTGTCCCTGCCTTAATGAGGAACATAACTTGAGTTTTCCCATCCTGTTGTGCTTGCAGCTCCATGAAAGCTGGACGCTCATCCTCACTTGCAGGGTTGTGCAAGGGAAGATGCAGGACATTGGCAGCTAAAAGGTGTGAGAAGATAAGCTAGTCCCAGCGTGATGAGGGTGTGTGCTCCTTTCATCACTAGTGAGGAGTGGTGGGTAGGTGGGGAGGTGAGAGGTCTCATCACAGAAAAGCTCGAGCTGTAAGATTACAAGGGACAGGCAGAGATTTTCTGTGGAGTAGGACATAATTCCCTGATTCCCATTTGTTAATTGTTCAAGTAAAGGGCTTCCCCCACCCACCAAGGTACAGTTAATTTAGATGGCAGACCATACTTTTAGCCATTAATCAGTTATGATTTATGATTTGAATTATAAAAGGAAGGATTAGAATACTTCTGGGTAATCACTGCTTGAAATATTCCTAATGTATGTTCTATATTTGAACAGAGTTCAACACAATATGGTCCTGCCTCATACTTAAGGCCAATACTACAGTAATAACAACATTGCTACTAACAACTGCAAAAATAAGCTTGAAAGTCTTTTTATTACAGCTGAAGGAGATCCATCGCACTGCAATGGCCTTGATACTTTTATCCTGCAGTGAATTTAGGAATATATATATATGTGTGTGTGTGTATATATACGTATATATGCATGTGTGCATTTCTATGTGTGTAGATGGCTACCTAGAATGTATTACCTGTACTTAACGGCTGCATTGAGAGGTTTAAATTTACTATTTTGTGGTCACTAGATGGCACTACAGTACAAATGACTATTAAAGAGCCATTCCCGTATTTGTTTTGCAGGAATATGCTTCCCTCAGCTTTGTTGTTGTTGTTGTTATTGGGGTTTTGTGGGGTGTTTTCTTCCCCCCCTCCCCCTTCATTTGTAAAATCCTGCCGCAGTTTGGCACTCACAAGAATACGTGTCCTACCAGGCAACTGTCCCACTCTGCCCAGCAGTGAGATCCGCAAAGGCCTCTGCTCCTGCTGCCCAGCACGGGCCCCACACCCTGGACTCTGCCCTCCACAGCACCTCGGCTCCCACCTGCCCTCCAAGTCTTGCTGGGCAGGGCTAAAGGGCTGGAGTTGCCCACTTCTCTACTGACCATGCAGCACGCCCCAGTCCCTTTTTTAACCTCTCATTCCAGGAGTGAAAGTTGCAGCCCTTCACCTTGGCAGGTGATACTGTTATAAAGGAAGAATGAACAGTTGTATACAAATAACTTTTATCGTACATTAACCTAAAAATAGTCGTTCTTCATAGCTCAATGTTTTTTGAGGTTGCGATAACATCTTTTGCCTCTGTCATGGAAGTTCATTTTTGTCATCCCTGTTATCCTCTGCAAGATAGATTTATGCTCATCTTTTTCACCTTCTTGAAGATAAAATACACTTAGAAATAATGAACAGGATGAATAACCATTCTCTTCTACTTAAATACAGGGCTCCTAAACTTCCAAGATAGTTTTTGAGGGGAATTAAGTCACTCTATAAAACTCTATGAAATGACAGTTCTTTTGAAAAAGAGTAATTTTCTTATTACAGGAGATAGCAGCCATTTTAATCAGCTAAACATTATGTTAGAAGTTTGAATCTTGTCTTTGTGTCAGCATGATTGACAAAAAAATCTCACAAACGCTCTAACTTTAATGTGTCTGGAACGATATTTTTAGATCTTCTCAGCTTGCCACTTCTCATTCTTGCTAAAATACTTAGTGTTATTGGCTAAGATCCACTATACTGTTCAACAAAAATAGCTACCTGTGTCCTTTTGTTTCTTTTATTGCGTTTCTTTACATACGTACAGGTCCGAGTCAGCCAAGGCAAAGAGCCCGCACATTTACTGAGCTTGTTCAAAAACAAACCGCTTACTGTCTACAAGGATGGGACATCCAAGAAGGGAGGTCAGAAACCTGCTCCACCCACACGACTCTTCCAAATCCGCAGGAACCTGGCAGCCATTACCAGGATTGCGGAGGTAAGGTCACCTGCGAGGTAACCCAACTGTTCCCCATGGGAAATGGTATGGCTGCCACAAGCCTCTCTGACTGATCTTGTTGGGTAGTCACATCTGGTAGGAATGCAGAATTCTAAATCAAATCCACTGCTCTGTGACCAACCCATCTGATAAATCAAAGAGAATATGTTGTAACTGGCTGCAACCAAACTACATCTTTCAGAGGAAATTGTACTAAAGGTGCAGTGAACAGTCAGCTGGCAAAGAATAGACAGGTAATCTTGTCTTTAAGAAATCCTTATGAGATAGTCTTTCCTACTGCCAAACAGTCCTAAGTTTTGTCCTTCAAGTCAGTTCCCTGTCTCAAGTTAAGTTCTTCTCAAATATCAGTATAAATCTAGGGAAAATGAAATAAGAAAAAAAAGTATAGTTGATTAACATATATCTACATGTTTGATATAAACATGCAAAATAGTGATCACATTTGAAAATACAAAGAATAGAACAATTTCTTGATTTAGGTTGATGTGGACGCAATGTCACTAAACTCCAACGATGTCTTCGTTCTGAAACTGCCAAACAACTCTGGCTACACCTGGGTAGGAAAAGGAGCGAACAAAGAAGAGGAACAAGGAGCTCAATACATTGCCAGCATTCTTAAATGCCAGACTGCTAAGATTAATGAAGGCCAGGAACCCGGTAAGTATGAGGCCACATGGTTGCTAATAGGCAGCTGAGAATACACAGCAGTGCATGGAAATACAGCCTCAATGGTTTTTGTGATCATATATTTTGTAGGCAGAAGCATGCGCTCACTCTCTCCCCTTGAAAATCCAACCTGATATTTTACCATGGAGATCTATCCAGAACTGGCTGATGCACAAACAGTATGGTGCCCTGGAAGTCTGTAGGGCAGCAGCAGTAGCTACAGAGGAACATGGTCCTTTCTTTAGCCTAGTGCCTAGAAGGGGAGAGAGACATAGCGCATTGCTCTGTCTAGGTCTGCAAGCGATATTTTTATTGTTATTTTGACAAACTGCAGGAAGAACTGTAAGAAAACAGACCCATCTTTGAGACAGCAAAGAAGACAATGTTTGGGGATTCTTGAAATGGTATCTAAGAAGCTAAAACATCAAATGTTAAATCCACTGCTGAATAAGTTATATATTGTGTATTTCAGAGGAATTCTGGAAAGCACTTGGAGGTAAAAAAAACTATCAGACTTCATCACAACTCCTGACAAAGGCTGTGGATCATCCCCCTCGCCTGTATGGTTGTTCTAATAAGACTGGCAGATTTATTGTGAGTATTTGAGAGATACTTTCCTCTCTGATTAATTTCATATTTTCTGGTATATTTTGCCTTGGGAATCAGCAGGCATTAAATGAATATGGGGATCTGGCTTAGTTAGCTGTGCTTGGCAAGAACTAGAGAGTTGAGGTTTGCTGTTTTAAATCAATCCAAATGCAAAGGACGGACAGAAGAATTAATACTGCAGACGTTTGCATGCAGAGCCTGCTCCAGCCTGGGACTAGAAGCTTGCAGATGCAAAAAGATAACGTGTTTGCCCAGTCAAAAGCAATTGCGTTCTTGCAGAGCATTGCCAGACTGCTGTCATTTCGCTGAGAAAGTGCAGATCAATGCCTTGCCCCTTATGTGTCTGACAGTGATGGTGAGGAAAAGAAATGTCCCAAGCCCTTGCCTAAAAGCCCTAGCAGGCTGAAATTTTCCATAGAGATTTAAAACATGTAATTATGCCTCTAAGGTATTGGGCTGTGCTCGTGGAGGTAGGAAGACTTATTTCCCTAGCAGAAATACCCAGAGCTGTGTACTGGGTATTAAGCCTGTGATTCAGGCTTAATTCCTTACTGTATTCTGGGAGGTCAATGCTACATCACTGTTTGGCAAGGATGCACTATTTTTTAGGTAGGGGACATAGTTGGCTGCCATCTCTGCAGGCTCCTTAAGGCACAGCCCATACATTTGGAGAAGGATAAAACAAATAGGATCCTTTAATATGGACTTTAAAATCTTATGAGTCTCATGAAGTATATTCTTCTAGAAAGCTTCTAAAACACTCCTGTGAAATACAGTAATATGAACCAACCCCTCTATAATAGTCTTCTGGGAGCTATGCATTTGTTTGGCTGTTGTTTTAAATTTCCTCCAAATTCTGTGAAATCCCTTCTTTCCTATAGTATATTTCTAGAATCACCACTGTTAAAGCTCACCACAACAGGCAGGTCAGGCCACGCTGAGCTTCTGGCCACTGTAACACAGGGCAAGGAAAAGGAATGTCTTTTGCACCTTCTGCTTAGTGTCCCTTTAGCGCTTCTACATGACCAAGCATAGCCAAACCCTCGACAGTCCTTTAAAAGGAGAGGGCTGACCACTAGCTCCATTATTACCTCTCCTGCTCATGCAGAAGAACATTGAAACCACTTTCCCATCTGCCTGTAAATCCTTGGAAGAAGCAAGCAGTCTGCCTTTCCTTTGGGGTCTAATCCTCAATGGCTTAGTTAACTGTGACAACCCATTGTCAAGTGACTGGAGAGCTCATTTGGGAGTGTATTTCATCACTGAAGTCATACACTGCAAATCAAAGAACCTACTTTTCCTTACTAATGAATGTAACATGCATGAATATATCAGCTGTGAGATTGATTTAGTTTGCTTGGTACAAGGTGCTCTATGGAAATTTTCCTGCCCCTTTCTTCTGGCAGACCTTGGTCCCAGCTTAGAATAGTCACAATTACAGTGCAAACCACTGGCTCTCCTGAGGATATCCTATCAATTCCAATAAACTGAGAGCTGATTTTATGGGACATGCAGTGATGTGATTTGTTTCCTTTCAGTGAAACACCCTTGACACTTTCATCAAATCAATTTGGAGCTTGACCCTTTAGAAGGATAAAGAATTGCATGCCAGCTTCTAGACTTTTCCCTTTAAAAAAATCTTTAGTCTGCTCAAAATCAGAATATCTTGAGAAATCATAATATCCCTTTTTAGATTGAGGAGGTCCCAGGAGAATTCACTCAGGATGATTTGGCTGAAGACGATGTCATGTTGCTGGATGCTTGGGAGCAGGTAAGCTGTGTACTTGACCACTACTTTTTTGGTAACAAGAATAATTTATTGTTAGGAATTTAGATCATAAGATGGGAGGAAAAATCATCTTTGAGAGAAGGGAAGAGGCTTTGTTTTCTTTAAATTATACCAGAGGGAGCTCTATTTTTTGAGCTATATGATGTGCTGGTGTGAACATACACGATTGAATTTCCAAGCATAATATGCAACCACAGCAGGCACTTCCCATTAAAACCAATGAGGACTGCATGGCTATAAGCATCAGCAGTGTTCTTGGTTTTATCACTAAGATTTATTAATTTTAAAAAGTTAGTGCATAAAAGGTATTCAGAAACCACAAAACCGGGGGACAAACACTATAACCTTACATAGATTTTTTCAGAAGAACTGGGTGAAGTGTGACAGAAATAATCTCTCTCATTTTCCCAGGTTCACCAAAAACTGAAAATGTTGAGAGCTTTTTGGATGACAGACAAACTTACTGCAGGTGTGGAGGGCACATCTCTTTCTCACAGTATGTTCTTTCCCCTTGGAGGGAAAGGAGGAGGAGACCATAGATCGCACGTCTTATTTGTCTTCTTCAGCCTAACCCTTAAGGAAAAAGGCTGAAGTTTCTGGAAATGAGAGGGAATGTCTGTGGTTGATGGTGGAAGATGGGTTGAAGAGCTGAGTGGAAAGTGGTTGGGACATAGTGGCTCAGGTAAGAAGGAAAGGATCCTGGGAAAGGTAGCTGGATCAAAAAGAATAATTGACAGAAACAAAAGCCAAGCAAATGTGAGGATTGCAGATCAAGGCTCTGGATGTTGGTTAATCAGTGGTCACCCAGCAGTTACCCTGGGTGGCAATGATCACAGGGCACATGCACTGATGCGCACATAGAACTCAAACCAGAGACAGCGCTTGTTCAGTGTTTTTACCTGCACCTAGAGAGCAATTTCCTTGGCAAATTGCAAAAGATATCCATGGAAAAGGTATATTGTTCCTATCATTAGAGTGCATAAAGGTCTGGCCTTCCAGTGCCAAGAGAGCAGTGAGATTTCAGAGGACAAGGGGGAAAAAACCCAACATGAATTGTGGTTTGTGAGAGCTGTGTATCCCTGCAGTCTTTTCACAGTGTGTATTCTTTTGCCCTGTGAAATCAACTATTTTGTACCTTACCTGCTGTACACAACATCCTTGTAACAATGTGGGACCTAAATCTTTCTGTTTGCAGGTTTTTGTCTGGATTGGGAAGGATGCTAATGAAACTGAGCGTCAGGAATCCGTAAAATCTGGTAAATCAAATCAATTTGGCAGAATTTTGAGTGGAGTAGCATCAATAGTACTAAAGGAAGTGAAAAAGATGATGTAGAGGAAAACAAGTTATCTTTACAGTGTCTAAAAGAGCTATTGGTCTGGAGATTAGTTTCTCCTTTAAATGTGATTTAAAGCTTATCATATATTTCTTATCTGTAAATTTATGAAGAGTAAAATTAATCAAGTAGGCTGCAGAGTTTGTTAAAGAGTATGTAGGAGAGTTCCTGAAAAGAAACTGCACTCAAAAGAGAAATAATTTAAAAGGAGATATCTACTGAGCTGCACCCTACGCTGATGTATGTAGTCAAAGTAGTGCAAATAAATCCCCAAGTCCTTACACTGCCATCTTTTGCTGAGTTAAATTTGAAGGAGGAAATTCCAGTTGCAGAACAAAACAATACAACTTATGTGGAGTGCACTTCCTTGAGAAATCACATAATCTCTGGCATGATTTGACACAGCTGAGCCATTCTGACAAAGTTCTTGCTAAAAATGCTTGCAGACATTTCCCTTTCTGATATGTACTGGTGTCACATTGTGATATCGAGGGAAACTATACTGGCTTTTACATAGGAAAAATGGGAATGAAGCTTTTGCATCTGCACAGCACCAGCAAAAGCTTTCTCCTGTTCAAGAGCTAAACCCTGGCTGTGTGGCAACAAACTGAGCAAAGCAACAATCCCTCTGCCTTAACCTCATGGCAAATTCCTTCACTGGCACCTGGGAGAAACCAGCAATTACCTGACCATTTCATTGCCTTTGAAATAATTTAATTAAATACTGTATTGTAGTAGCCCTGGGTTCTTTTACTAGGGCTTTGAATGTTTGTTGTTTTGGTTTTTTTTACCAAAGGAATGAACTAATACATGCCATGTTTGATTTCCTTTCTGGTTTCAGCCAAACGCTATATTGACACGGATCCTTCTGGCAGAGATAAGGGGACCCCCATTGTAATCGTGAAGCAGGGGCACGAACCCCCAACATTCACCGGCTGGTTCCTGGCTTGGGACTCCAACAAATGGAAGAACTGATCTGTCCAAGGAGGCTTCAGCTTCAAGCCAAAGAATGATCAGAGCCCAGCTATTTTCTAGTATTTTTAAGCGTAAGCTTGTGCAACAATATGCTGCATCTGTTGTTACACTTTTCCGAGCTTTGATATATTTCTGAGAATAAACTCTTAGCACTGGAAAGGATAAATCATAACTGGAAATGCATCTAATGGGGTGAGTGGGACTGTTCATATAGTTAATATGGAAAGTGCTACCAATACTTTATTTAATCTATGAATTCTTCTATCAGAAGCTGTGGATCAGTTTATTTTAATGTGCTAATATGGGCCAAATTCTGCCTTTGCTTAGAAGTCCAAATTAATGCCGAAGAAATTACTTTAGATTAAGGTCAGCATAATTTTGTGCAGAATTTGGCCTGATATAGGACTAATTCTACATCTGTTGCAAGGATAGGACTGGACATGTTTTACTTGCTAGGCCAAAATGTTGCCACACTCACTTATGTAAAATGTCAGATGATGCCTGATCCAGAGTGGGGACTGTCTTGCAGGCAGCAAATAAGGGATGGGTATTTTGAGAAACCTGTGCTTCACACATTTGTTTCTCTTGCTAGTACATATATGTGGAGCTTTGGACGGAGTGGTTGTAAGAAAATGAAGTTGGCAGAGGTTTTTTGAGGGACTGCCTACCTCATTGTAATGAATTTCTTTAGATTTATCTCTCTGAACCAGTCTCCAGCTCCAGGTCTTTTTAACCAAAGCTCTTAAAAACATTTTGGTGCACTAATGCTTCTAAACGGAAGCAGAAGAAGTAACAGCTTCCCAAAAATCTTGCTCTGCCTTAACCAGATTGCACTTAAGCCAAACTTAGTCTCACTTGCCTTACTCAGCATTACTCAGTTCTTTTCCAGCATGCAGGCTGCTCACCTCTCCAGGTGCAGGATGTGTTTCTACTTGTTTTCTATGCAGGTCTTAGTCAAATATCGAGTACATCAGGTGTAAGGAAACCCCTTGTTTCAGCAGCATTCCACATCCCGAGAATACAGAGGGTGAGCAGGCACCATAGAATATGGCCTTCTCTTTTCTCCCAGATGCAGTTATTTTGGAATTATTTTTTTCTATTCTGGTGAATTTAAGACTACATTTTCAAAGTGTTTTCCATTTGTAGTTTAGCCAGAAAAGTCACGTAAAGGCAGTGGGAAAAATTCTGCTTCAGATCTTTAGCATTGCTTTCAACATTTATCCTATAATGCTTGTTTTAAACATCAGTCATGTCAGTGTGGCTTTTTAAATGAAGGCATTTCAACAGTTTTATTATTCTTATAAGTTAGGTTGAAAAGTGAAATTTTAGACATTTTTGTATATTTTTTTTAATGCGGTTTTGCTTTTGAATCTGGGTAATGCGAAAGAGTGAATTTAGTCTGACCTTATCACCAATATCAATGAGAAAAGAATTATGAAGCTAAGATATTAATTACAAGTTTTTTAGCTTTAAACATTTGTTTAAATCTCTGCTGATATAACTGGGCTGTATCTGAATGTAATTTCATTTAAAATAAAATTACAGAAAACAGTATTCTATATGTTGAGTTGATCTTCCTTCCTTGTCTAGTGAAACTTCCTAAAAAAAACCAGCAGGTATCTTCCTTTCTAGATGGACAATGCAACAAGAAGTGTTTTGTTGTTTTGTTTTGTTTTGTGTTGTTTTGTTTTGTTTTGGTTTGGTTTAATTTGGTGCCATTTTACCCAAGGGAGAGTTAATTCTTCCCAACAACTTGAAAGTTACAAACCTAAGTGAAAAATCAAAGACCTGGGTGCTTAATAGCTTGTGATTTCATCTTAAGAAAAACGACCACTGTTGTTACCAAACTCTTTGGCTTTGTAACTTTCTCCTTGCAAAAATTATCGACTATAGAAATGAATATTTTATAAAATAGGAGAAAATTGGTGTATGTTTTTAAGGATAGGTCTTGTTTTTTATTTTTGGGAGCAGAGATGTCCTTCTCCTGCTGGAAGGGAGGACAAAGACCTTTTCAGTTCCTCATCTACTGCACACAGCCACTGAGCAGCCTCTAATTGTCTGCTGGTTGCCTTCAACACATACATATGATTCTTCTCATTGTTTAAAAAATAACAGTTATAGTAGCTTCTAAACCAAGGATTAGACAAGATTTGCCGTCCTTGTACATAAACGTCTTCCAGAACACAGAGGGCTCTGAACTCAGCGCTGCCTGCCAGCATGTTCTGCAGCGCTGTGAAAGCCTCTTTTCAGTTCCCTCACATGAGACAGAGGAGCTTTTGTGGTCTCCTGGCCTGGGCATTTGGGTTTACAATACATTGTCCTGGCACACTGATGACTGACGTTGAGAAGAGCATTGAGAGCTCATAACAGAACAGTGTTCTCAACTGGGCTTTGAGCACAACAGCTGCTAGCAACATTGTTCTTGGGTTTACTTACTAGCGAGGAAGTTTATTTTTCATACATATTTGTGTAGTACACACAAAGATGTGTTTCTTTCTCTGAAGAAGAAGAGGGAGGGAGAACAGACATGATGGACTAAGTGCTTGGAAATACTAAAGATTTTAAGAAAACATTTAAGCATATAACTTTATGAATACGCATCGCAAACCTATCTGCCTTATTTTCAGAATCAATAGAAAAAAATGTGCAGAGTTATGCACTATAGTCAAGAATGAGCTGTATCTTGCATTACTATCAAACAGTAATAGTATTTTCAGGCAATTTGTTATAGCAAAATTAGACCCTGAGTTAGCCGTTTCATTATGCTACCAAATATTAAGTATTCATACATTCTATTGGTTGTAATACAGTACAATTTTTCAGCTTTGTTTTATAGAATTTAATTGCAACAGAAAGATAATGTTAGGAATCCTTGGAGCCAACTGGACATCATAATGCTATACACAGTATTGATAGTTTACATAAAATAGCATAATCTTAGAGTATAACTACAGATGGCATACAGGAGAGAAGCCAGCCTCTGGAATCACTGCTCTAATCCATGAAGAGGTGGTTAGCGACCTGCTACACCACTTAGACATACACAAGTCTATGGGGCCAGATGGGATCCACCCCAGGGTCCTGAGGGAGCTGGCAGAAGAGCTTGCCA